CTAGGCATATACCCAGAAGATGCTCGAACATATAACAAGGACATATGCTCAACTATGTTCATAGCAGCCTTATTTATAATAGCCAGGAGCTGGAAAGAACCCAGATGTCCTTCAACTGAGGAATGGATTCAAAAAATGTGGTATATTTACACAATGGAGTATTACTCAGCTATTAAAAACAATGAATTCGAGAGGTTCCTAGGTAAATGGATGGAACTAGAAATTATCATCCTGAGTGAAGTAAGCCAATCACAAAAGAACACACATGGTATTCACTCACTGATTATTGGATATTAGCCCAGAACCTTGAAATGCCCAACATGCAACTCACAGGCCACATGAAGCTCATAAAAAAGGAAGACCAAGTGGGGGTGATTCAGTTCTTCTTAGAAGGAGCAACAAAATACTCAAGGGAGCAAACATGGAGACAAAGTGAGGGACAGAAACTGAAGGAGGGGCCATTTGAAGACCTTTCCACCTGAGTATCCACCCCATATGCAGTCACCAAAGGTAGATGCTGATGTGGAAGTCAGGAAGTACATGCTGATAAGGGCCTGATATGGATGTCTCCTCAGAGGCCTTCAAGAGTCTGACATATTCAGAGGCAGATGCTCACAACTAGCCATTGAACTGATCATGAGGTTCTCAATGGAGGAGTTAGAGTGAGGACTGAAGGAGCTGAAAGGGTTTGTGGCACCATGAGGAGAGCAACAATACCAACCAACCAGAGTTCCCAGGGTCTAAACCACCAGCCTGGGAGCACTTAGGGAGGGATCCAGGGCTTCAGCTGAATATGTAAGAGTAGAGGGCCCTGCTGGGCATAGGTGGAAGAAGAGAACCTTGACCTCATGAAGGCTGGATGACCCAGGGGGTGGGAATTTTGAGGGTGGGGAAGTGGGAGTGGGGCGGGGTAGGTGGGGGTTACATCCACAGAGAAGAAGGTGGAGGGGTAAGGGAATGGGGGGTTCCCGGGTGGGTGGGGGATGGGGTAAGGGGATAACATATGAAATGTAAATAAAATATCCAATAAAAAAATAAAAAATAAAAAAAAGAATAACAAAAAAATAACAAGTGAAAAGAATATTTGAAGCTTGTCCAGAAGGTTCAATGTGTTCATACCTTAGAATTCAGAGTAACAAATGGCACATGTACTATAAAATTAGGCAGCTAATAGAACCATGTTATAATGACTACTATGTGATGGCTTCCCAACATTTATTAATCTTAGCATTTATAGAAATGAGAGTGGGAATTTCACTGGGTTATTATTTATCCCTAAGAACGTATTCTAGGCATGTGGTCTCAAACTCAGTAAACTATCTTTAGTTTTCAATTGTTGAAATTTTATGCATGTTCTTTCTCAGTGGCTTGACTGGTAATTACTGGGAATGTAATACAAGCACTAATTCAGACACACATGTTATATCTAATAGTGTTAAGGCATATGCTATCATACAGAGTGGAAGAATGAGTCATTTGCCCAAAATCTAAGCTCTCCTAAGGACTAAGCATCTAAAGCATTACCCTAACCAAGGTAATGTTCCTCTTCACTGACATAAGAGTGATATCATTCAGTATTTAGCATAACATGAATCTGAGATGGTGCTTTCTTACAGACTCTTCACTTTTCAAAACCCGGCATCTTATAAAATTATTGAGAAGTACTCACCTCCCCCAAAATTCTTGATATTATATCTTAAAAGTCTTTGATGCAGAAAACCACTATAGATAGCTCTGTGTTTTACACTGAAAAAACTAGAAATGAAATGTACACAAGAACAGACATCCTAAGCCACACCGGCTTCTAGTTTTAAAAATATCAAACAGCAGAGTTTGATGTTTGTTAAGGTATGTCCAAACTACATTAGACCTTAAAACATTAAGCATAGAAGGCATATAGTTGCATATAATCTTCTCCAGCAATATCATTCCTATTCAATTAAAGAACTACATTTCAGAGCTCTTGGGAGCTGCCTAAAATTTTCTTTTCATTCCTGTGTATACTATTTTCCTTTTCTGATCTCCTGAGATTGATAACACTCTAGTATGAAACTTGGTGGCCATAATACGTGACAATGGTTAAACTAGAGGTGGTTATAGAATCAGTAGGTTTACATCAGATTCAGCTTATTGATCAGTGGCTAGATAGCAGGAAGGCTGCAAATGAACATACAATGATGAATTCGAGGCAAAGACAGTGTAAGCTTTTGGGATTACTATAATTAGTAAAGATATAGGCTTATCAATAAGTCCTAGAAGATTATAATAATATGTAGTTATACTTCCACCTGTTAACAGTTCCACTCTATTTTCTTTTCCTAAGATCAATGGCTGCTGGACAAAGGCATGCCTTTATTTTATGAATGTCACCTGAGACCAGGCTTATGGACCTGGAAATACAACTGAGGTAGGCAGTAATGTCATATGATCATCCATGAAGCATTTGAGATTGTCCTCCATGTGATCTTCCATGATATATGTCTGATAACCAAATATGACAATCTTATTGAAAGCCATTTTAACTTACAGTGAAATAAATATGTATATTAAGCTATTTTAGGTGGCCATGATACTATAAGAATAAATAAGCCTATAGATTACTTCGAAAGGCTGCAAGCTAAACTTTAAATGATCAGCTAGTTTATCATGTGCTTATCTCAGGAAACCATACTATATGTTTTGAAAAACCTAAGAAAAACAATCAAACAAATATGCATACCTATATGGCTTTTTAAAGTATATATACAGTATATAACATTGGAGAGGTTATATCATATATATACATAGGTGTATTGTATGCATATTTATATGTCTAACATATAGAGTATAAACACATATATGTTTATAGTGTCTATATAGTTCTTATTTTTAATAAATTATTTTTTTTGTGGAGGGACTGGTTCTTTATTTCAAAATGTCACTTATCAATATTCAGTATCAAAACAGTTGCACTACAGGGTTCTCTTTCTCCGGTCGGAGGAGAGTACAAACAAGCCAGGAATCTGCAGGGTGCTCACCTAACAGGCCGAGAAGAAACCACCTGAACATGGCAATTGGGTGGGGACACTTGAAAGATCAGCATACCACTAGCCCACAGACGGCAAAGAATTCTCACAGCCAATGGGTTGGCCAAGGTAACCCAACCCTCCCAAAACAAAATTTCAAAATAATATAAAATTTTAAAAGTTCTTATTTTTTTTACATAAGCTATTCAAGATTTCTCCAGCACTGACTGATACAAAGCACAATGAGATGGCGCTTTAGAGACAGCAGCTTCAGGAAAAGGGCGATTAGACGACTTTCATGTGGCTAAATCAGTAGCACAAACATAATTCTCCTTCTCTGTCTCCCTTGGGGGCAGGTGAACACCAAGAGGTCACCACAACACTAAGGAGCAGCATGATCCATTTTGAGCAGTTGGGGAAGGGGTGGAGCTCAGACAAGTTTGGGCTCAGGGCTGGACTGAATGGTAGCACGCTTGCCTAACATGCATGTGGCCCTGGGAGGTGAGGCTGTCTCAGCGTCTTATTTGGTCACATCTGATGGAAAAAGTAAAAAATAAAATAAGTGTAAAAGTTGTTCAAAGATATCAAAGATGAAACCCTTCACAGCCCGGAAGAGTTTTTTGTTTTGGGCTAACTTCCTAGAATCCCCGTTGTTTGGCTAAGATGCAGTGCAGAGCACTGAGGTCTCCCACAGTGGAGCCTGCCTGGGCTCTGCTGGCTCTCAGGAAGGCAGGCCCATTCCTGTGCTTCTCCTCCATGGCGAGACAGTATCCATTAGGCTACAATGTGCTGCTCCAAGCTGCAGAAGTGCTTGGAATGTTAAAAATGGTTGCTAAGACAAAAAGTAACCACAATGTGCATATCACAACTGCATTGAGGACACTGCGTTGTGCTCACATTCCCTTAAATATTGTTCCCAAAGGTGTTCAGTCCCTCCAGCTGAAACTCTGGGAAGAGACTGGCACAGTTTTGTGAAAAAGACAAGAGGGGTAGAAGCCGGTGACAGGAGGTAAAGCAGCCTTCAGTTAAAAAGATCAGCCCTCAGTTTCAAGGTCAGCTTCTGGGAGGCTGGCCACAGACGGAGTCAAGGTCAGAGGGAGGAGAGGCCGCAGGGCAGGGATGGGGGAGGTCTACGTCTCGTTCAAGTCCAACAGGGTCTGGTCCAGCATCCTTTGTGTACAGAGATGCTCCTCTTTGGTGCACTTCAGCTTATCTTCCAAGTCATCAATGGTCTTTTCCAGCTTGGCTACCGATCTTTTAGCAAACTCAGCACGGGTCTCTGCCTCCTTGAGTTTATCAGTAAGAATCTTTATTTCTTCTTCATACTTGTCTTCATTTTGAGAGTACTTTTCTTCAGCAGCACTCAGACACTTCAGGTTCTGGTCCATCAGTCTGATCTGCTCATCCAGCTCTCGGCAACCGGACTCTGCAAGCTCGTTGCGTTCCTCTGTACATTCCAAGTCTCCTTGGATAATCACCAACTTACGAGCTACCTCTTCATTCTTCCTATCTACCTCTTCTGCAATGTGCTTTGCTTCCTTTAGCTGGATTTCCTGGAGTTCCATCTTTTCTTCATCTTTTAGAGCCCGATTTTCAATCACCTTCATACCTCTCTCATTCTCATCAGCAGCCTTTTCTGCTTCCTCTAGCTTCTGCAAAACAGTTGCAAGGCGCTCCTGAGCACGGTCCAGCTCCTCTTCAACCAGCTGGATCCTGCGGTTCATGGAGGCCACCTCAGCTTCAGCCCACACAGTACCATCTTTTCTCCTATTTTTAATAAATTTTTACTTATTTTGTTTCCATGTATGCACATGTTTGTGTTGATATATTTGTTGATGTGCATGTCAGAGTTCATGTATGGAAGTTAGGGGACAAAGAACAGTGATCAAGAGGACAAAAAAAAAAAACAAACAAACAAGTGATCACAAGGTACTGAGACACAACACATCTACAGTGCAAGCCTCACACCTAAGATTCAACAGCATGAATAGAGGAAGAGACATTTCAAGACTCAGGGAAAAAGTACACTGCTTGTGAGATAGTATCTTCTACATATGGCAAGGATACCTAATCCATGAAATTTCAACAGTATTTTTCCTAACCAAGGTCTGCATAATGATGATAACAGTTGAAATGGGAATGAGACTGGTGGGAATTCCATAAGACCCTACCCTGGATGAAGAACTATGTGTAGTCAGTGGAGACTAAGGAAGGAGAATGAGTTTTCTCCAGGTTTGAGTCTCCTGGTATGTCGTAAACCGTAAGTGGCAACTCCTAACCCCATGATATATGCAACAATAATTATATGAGGAGAGGTCATGAATCTGTGAGGTATTTGGGGAAAGAAAAAAAAGGAGGGTTGTATATGATTTTTAAAAAGTGTTATCATGTATAAAAGTCTCAAAAGTTTTAAAAGCACAGTTTATTAAATATATTAGCAGGATACACAGGGTGGAGAATGAATAGAATGTTGCCAATCATGTGTGCAACTGTAACAAAAGTGCTTCAAGAGACATTCTCACCAATTTCTAATGAGACTTCTTTTGTTTGGCTGTCTTTTAACTAGGTGTCATTAAACAGATGTGTTATATTTTTATGTAATTGAGATTGTTTTTCCACAAATTGCAAAATAAATATGAAAAGATTTTAAATAAAGATGCAAATATTGAAGAATTTTCTTTTGTAACATAGTTGCTAACAGCTCATTTCATAGCAAGAAACAGCTTTTTTTGATTTGAAATATGCAGCACCAGTTACAATTCAACTGTGCAATATGAAAAAAAATCAAGTGTGAACAGCATTTCTTCCTAATTACCTTCAGCATTGCATTCCATAAATCTGGAGTGGTTATTTGTTTTATGAGGCAGGGTAGCACTACGTAACACTGCCTGATATGGAAATTATTATATAGACCGGGATGTTCTCAAATCTACAAAGATCCACCTGCATCTGCTTCCTGAGTGGTAGATTAAGAGTATGTGCTACCATTCCTTCCTCCATCAGTTTTATACAGCTTTCTTCAGCTCAGATTAAGAACCATAGCTACCTGGTATGGTTGAGCATGTCTCTAACCCAAGGAATCTGGAGCTACAGCAGGAACATTACAAGTTTGAAGTATAGGCTATATAATGAGATTCAGGACCATATTATTCGACATTGGGTGAACTTGCTTTAAAAAAAAAAAAACCAGAAGCTGATACCAAAGAGAGCTTATTAGAGGGAAAAAGAGATTATATCTCATGAATATCAATGCACAGAAACAACCTTTGACTCTCAGTAGTTTGTGAGACTGCTTCACAGCTCCAATGGGTCATGAGAATGTAATCAAATGTCATTGCCAAGAAAGAAAAATACATGGAAAAGATCTTGGTGACATCAATGGTGGTGATGTTGGTATGCCAGCTACATGTTGAGGCCAATGTGACAGAAAAGGAGAGTTAAAAGCAAAATGTCACTCAAAAGAAAGTTGAGAAAACATAAAGGACATTCTTATAATCTACCATTGACTTGACTCTGACACTTAAATCGTAATAGCAAGTGAAGTACAAGAAAGGGGCAAGAGAACTAGCTTTTTACATTTTTTAAAAGCTAAAATTGGTGTCTTGCTGGAAGCCCTACTACTTTTTAAAGTGTGAAATATCGTCTTCCTGACAATGGCTGAACTCAAAGTAATTAGAGTAAGACTAGCTTGTTCAAGTTTCCCATCCTTTCTTATTCCTCCCCCAGAATAGCACCTCTGGTGGATTTCTGACATTCCCTGCTGTGAGGAAGAATGTTCAATGGTCATCACATACTATCACTTCATTTCTTTTGGCAAACCCAAAACTTTTTCTTTGTATTTTATATTCTTTGTCACTGTAACCTATTCTTGTGTTCTGAATCTTCTCTTCTTCCCAGGGCATAGGAGATTCTGCTGATTACAGAATCTTTCTTTCTTATCCTAGACCATGATGCTAAAACAAACAAATGAACAAACAACAACAACAAAAACCAAAACGTGAAAATTTAGTTTTCTAGCTCTACTAGAAACAATCATCTTTGCTACACTCAAAAGTTCCTCGCTTGTCATCTCTAGAATAGAGAGAGATTAAAGGACAAAGCAGGATGCATTTAAAGAAGGAGAGACACTAATAAAAACTGGAAAGAATGTAGTTCCTCACTCCTCCATTGTTGGTGGGACTGCAAGATGGTGCAACCACTTTGGAAATCAGTCTGGCGGTTCCTCAGAAAATTGGACATAGCATTACCCGAGGATCCAGCTATACCACTCCTAGGCATATACCCAGAAGATGCTCGAACATATAACAAGGACATATGCTCAACTATGTTCATAGCAGCCTTATTTATAATAGCCAGGAGCTGTAATGAACCCAGATGTCCTTCAACTGAGGAATGGATTCAAAAAATGTGGTATATTTACACAATGGAGTATTACTCAGCTATTAAAAATAATGAATTCGAGAGGTTCCTAGGTAAATGGATGGAACTAGAAATTATCATCCTGAGTGAGGTAAGCCAATCACAAAAGAAGACACATGCATGGGTAACACTATGATTCTAAACCAAATCAAGTGAACATGGCTAGATGCTTAAAGGAATGCACATTTCCTTTCTGGGCCTCATAGAAATGGTAATATGATTACACACTGAAGTAGACACATGCATCTACAAACATACACATACATACACACACAATCATACAATATGCTGAGTTGACACTTGGTAATTCATTGCCCCATGCATTGTAAACAGGATGCTTTTTGTTTGAAATTGAAAGAAAATTTCAATAAAGTTTGAGATTTCACACATTTTCAGGGACTAACCATGAGCATGATGATCAGGAGGGAAAATATTAGGTCTAGAGAATAGTAGCCAACGTAAAAATTCAAAACCAATGACCTATTACCATCTTGGGATGCTTTGTATTAGTATTCCGGCTATTCTTGGGACAGAATAAGTAGATGTTCCATAGTAAGTCTACATAACACCAATATCCACCATGAGGCAAATGGAAGAAGTCAATGATATTTTCCACTCTTTGTTTTTCTTTCTTTCTCTCTCCCTTTCTTTCTTTCTTTCTTTCTTCCTTCCTTCCTTCCTTCCTTCCTTCTTTTTTCTATTCAGTTTGTAAAATGAAAGTAGCATATCAATATGGGTCATTTTATATTCATAGATACAAATCTTTGGTTCAAATATTTTTAACTTGTACAATGCTAGTATTTCCCACTTATGTTGTCATTTTACTTATTCAGCTAGCAGTAGACTAGTCAAAAAATACTCTTAAATGTCTTCTCTAAAAGTACTATAAGGTTCACTTACAATGTGCCCTTAATTTTTTTTTAAAAGTTTGTATATTTGTGTGACAACATGACACTATTTTAATAGAACTACTTTTTAAATAATGATTCCCAATAAAATCAAGTCAAAAGGGCAAGCATATAATAAGTGGAATTCAACTGAAACCCACACAGCCAATGTACACCTTTTGTATGAGTCTACAGTCCTACAATAATCATGATAAAATTAGGAACTCTATGAAGGAAAGTTCACAAATCTTAGAGCACTCCAGAAAAGCTAAAATTGTGAACCTTACAGATAAGTATACCCACTGAAAGTGTTAGCCACATCAAGACACCATTTCATGTCCTCCAAGCACTTAACTGATACACCAGTTTGAGATGAGCAACATTTTTTATTCTGATTCAACTCACCTTATAAAAAGGCATGCAATATACTTTTTCCTGAAAAAAAAAACTCTTCAGTGTTCACTGCTATACCTGAAGTTTATCATTCAAAATTAACAAATCAAGTAAGTAATGACTGAGCATAACCCTGGGTTTCTATAACTCTCATTATACACAATGTGTATAATTTGAAGACTATCTGTGCTTTACAAATATTTATTTTTATTGAAATAAATGAATACAAAGATTATAACTTGGATCCATGTGAAAAGATTTACATATGGTCACTATCCTAGCTTAGTTAGGCTTGGTAATATTTTTAAATTTAAAAAGCTTACAAAGTTTAGAATTCTGTCTTTTTAGTAGATACCTTTTGTGAAATCTACTAAATACAAGTGTTGCAGTGAATACAAAACACTCAAGATATAATCCCTGCCCTCAAAAGTCAGATAGAGAGATGCAAGCACAAAAAGCTATATGCCAAATTAAAGTGTGACTTTCATACAATGGAGCCAATAATAAGGCACTATGAGCAGAAGAGAAAGCATAATTAATGTCTCAGCTGAAGTAATGTTGGAGCCAAATCACAAAGGCCAGGTAGGATCTTAACAAGCAAAACCAAGGGTGGCTAATATGCTTCAGGCCCAAGGAAACATTCTGAGGAAATGCAAGAAGAATGCAAAATGAAGGCTAAGCTCTGAACCCATCCGGAAGCCCAGCAGGGTCTGCTGAAAATTTATATTTCATTAACCTGAATCATAAAAGATTTTATATGCTAGTGAAAAGCTAGTTACACCAAGCTTGCTATTCTGGAAATCATCATGTAATTTCTTCTGTAGGATGCCATGGAGTTAAATTTACTAAGAATTTCCATTTATGTCTTAATTATGATTCTCCAAATTAATATTTTTATCTGAAATTTGAAGCACTGAAATACTATGATTAATCATTTTATGCATTTATAATCTTCAAAAAGTAACCAAAATCAATGCAAACAATCATAAAGACATAGAGTGACACTGTCCAAAACCCACCAACATTCTGAAACAAATGGTGTCCTATGTTCTTATTGAAAACTGTCAAAAAGCATGGAAATCAAATGTCATGATTGTGTGTGCAGATATATAATACCAACTTCTAGCCTTCAACAGTCCCAGTGAGGGAACACATCACATTATAGGAGAAAACATAAATATGACCTAGTAGACAGCCTACCTTACACACTGCAGTTCTAAATAAGAAGCATGGCACACCTTGTTCCTAGTATTCTCAGAAGTCAGAATGCAGAATTCTGAAGTAGCCAGTAGCTGGCCTGCTGACAAATCTACACTCTTCATGTCTTCTTTTATGTGCTTATTCTGCATAGAGATCTTGGTGGTATGATCACTCATTGTCCAATTCGAGGAAATGTGTTAACCAACAGAGTTGATACACTTGCCCTGTATAAGTAATTGCTCATGTGGAATAGAGGAAAAGCTTTTTTTCTAAAAACCATCTCTAGAGTGGTTCATGGCTGCACTCTTTATAGACCCATGGGCATATTGGTCTTGTGGAGGAAGCCCTGGTAACAATAGTGCCACATAGGTGAGAAAGCATCACACCAGTGTCTTTAAATTTCCCTATTGAAATGTATAATGGTAGATTAGTAAGCCAAAATAATATTCTTGGACTCAATCAAGAATCATAAAATTAAGAGAGTAATAACAGCATAATAATTTCCTATGTAGTAACTCAATGTCAAAAGTGGAACATTACCATTTAAATCTTAACTGAGATGTCAGTAGCCAAGAACAACAGAACAGGTGCCAAGTATATCACATTCTGCAGCAAAGAATATCAAAAAGTTTTTAAAATAATCGTGTAGTAAATATTTAGGAATTGCAACTCATACAACTTTACTCATTTATCTCCTTCACTCTTAAGGAAAGCAGACATAGAAATGTACAAGTAATAGACACAATTGTGTTCTAGCAAAATTTATAGACATGGATAGTTGATCCTCATGTCATTTTCACATGTTTTCTTTTCATTTTTTTAACAAATGAAAAATGTAAAAATCACCCATAAAACACAAACCATTCAAAATTAAGCAGCAAACTATATTTGGTCATCAGACCAACCACTGCCCTGTATTGAGATGTTGGACCACCTATGTTGATCAGGCTAGGAGGTTATAAGACTATTTTATTCACATTTATTTCTCCTAACCCAGAATGTGTGTGTGTGTGTGTGTGTGTGTGTGTGTGTGTGTGTGTGTGTGTGTTAAAGAGGGTTGCCAAGCCTAAAAATGTGTGCTTGTGCTTTCCTTTGGTTGGGAACAATGTTAGAGTGAAGTGATGTGGTATTTCTTTTCTCTCTACCTCGATGAAAAACAGTTGGCAAATACAGAAACCACAAAAAGTACTTTAAGAATTTTCAGTACACTGTGTGAGAACATTATATTGCAGTACTGATGAGTGGGGTAGGCTGCTTCCTAGCATGCAGAGACAGGGTGGTTAGACTGGTATTTGGCTTAAGATGATAGAAGGAAGCATTGCCACTCCAGGCGACTACACTCTACCCATTCATCACAGGATATTTGTGTTTTGACTTGAGCCAAGAGAGTTATCTGGCCTAAATGTGTGTTCTACCAGAGTCTGCCAAAGATAGCTGCATAGGGTTAAGAGACCTCTTCCCAAGATAAATAATAAAAGATACAATGAAGCCTGTATTGGAAGTTAATAGGTTGAGTATGGAAGCTGCAGGGAACCAGATCAGATATAACACCTGATTATAAGGGAACCTCAGCCAGAATTCCATCAGAGGAGTTTTATGTAAAAATATCGATGCATCCCATGAGGTCCAGTAAGTGTTATTCAATTTAAAAGAAATCAACTAATAGATTATTTCTATGAATACTTCTTAATCCTGTCTCTTTCCCAAAGAAATTCAGGGGGGAAATTGGCAAGGGAGAAAGAAACAGATAAAACAGAATTGGCACTTATCTTTCCCAGGTGTCTTAAGTTGAAGCACAATGGAATTACAGGATCACCTCATATATAATATGAGGTATAATAATCACACTGAGCCTAAAGGACTCAGAAAATTTTTAATTAGGAGCCATAAGAAACCAGTCAGACTATAAGTATTTTTGCACAGAGACAAGGGAAGAGTTATCCATCCTTGTAAATTTATTTAGTTGGGGTCACTTGTTAAGACAAAGCAGGGAAAGCATGACTTACTGCCATCATCTTCACACTCCCATCGTGTTCAACAGCACGGTCCCAACGCTGGCAGGAAAAAGGCACTGTAATAAAATCACTTTTAATTTACTTCCTGAAGTCCTAAAAATTGCCGTGATAGTGAACAATTTTCTTAAAAGCAAAGAAAAGTTATTAAATTATATACACAGTCCAAAACGTTAATTGCTTCTTGGCTTCACAGTGACATAACACATCCCCCTAACTTTTGGTAACCCACATTGATTATTTCAGTGGTAATTTCAATATTCTCTAAGTAAAAATGATAAAAGAATATAATGAATATCTAAAATCCAGCCTACATTTCAAAGGCAAATATAATTTCATCAAATATTTTTATTTTTTCTGAGTTTTGCAGGTAGAGATCGTCCATCCTTCATTACTTATGAAAGAAAACTGGAGCATTTTCAAGGCATGCTTTGGACTGTTTTCAAAAATCACATGGAAGTGAAATAGAAATTTACCAATGAAGTACGAAATGGCACAGCTGGATTGGACGTACATCATTCCTGTATTTTGAAATGTTACATATACAGAACCATTTTCACATGTTCTGAGGGAGAGCACAAAGTGTTATGTCGGGAGCCCCCTCTCATATTTCCCTTCAAGGAAAATACACTGCATAGACTATTCAAACTCACAGGGGGACTTATTTATTTCAGAACATCCTATATCAAACATGTTGCTCTTTTTCTAGACATAGCCTGACTCCATCTTTCAAGGCACAAAAGGGGGTCAAAATTAATTGTGAAGTCAAGTGCAAAATAGGTAGTCTGAAAACATGCCAAAACAACAAAGAAAAACAACCAATGTTTGTGCAATCACTATGGCTTCCGCTGCCCTGAAGAAGCTCCCAATGTGTCTTAGCAACGGCTCACAATCTGTCAGTCATGCCATAAATACATCTTTTAAGTTTAGCAAAGCTAACATGTATTCCTTCCAAATGCATTTCAAACAATAAAACTATGGGCTCTGCAACAGTTTTCCTTCTCACCCCATAAGCACATTTTACTTTAAGAAACTTGTTGTCTTGGTTTGGTTCCTTTTCCCCAAATTTCAGTTGGAACTGAAAAGAAATAGCGAGAACCTTGCAATGTGAGGCATTGCTGCGTTTTCATTTTCGTAGTGCCTGTCAGTAAATAGCACGG